TTTATTAGATATCAGATTCAGATTTTTTTTTAGATGTCACTCGCCACCCTTCGATTCGCCTCTCCCTAATTTCGAAAATTTCGAATCTTTTACGAATCTTTTATGTATCTTTTAACTAACTCCAGAGCGCACTAACTTAATTTCGCTAGAAATGACACTCGAAATTTTATTTGAACGTTTCCCTTTTTTGCAATTGTTTATGAAGTAATTTACAGACACAGGAGAAGAAAGAATTTTTATTAATTTTAGACAACACTCGCCTTTTTACGATTCGTCGCTCCCTAATTTCGGAAATTTCGAATTTTTTAGAAATTATGTATCTTTGTTGACTTTTCAATCTCGTGAGAAATGATACTTGAAATTTTATTTGAATGTTTTTTCTTTTTGGAATTATTTATGAAATAATTTACAAAAACAGGAGAAGAAAGAATTTTTATTAGTTTTAGATAACACTCGCCACCCTACGATTCGAAAATTTCGAATCTTTTACGAATTATGTATCTTTCTAACTAACTCTAGAGCTTTGTTAATTTTTCAATTTCGCTAGAAATGACACTTGAAATTTTATTTGAATGTTTTTCTTTTTTTTTGGAATGATTTATGAAGTGATTTGTAACAGAGAAGGAAGGAATTTTTATCAGTCTCAAGCTTAGTTCTCAAGTGATGTAGATGAATCAAGATAATATTTTCAAGATTATCAGTTCAGTTTGTCGAGTTGATCATGAATGATTCGTTGGATTTCTCGTTTTATTACAGTTTGTTAGACATCGTGTCATATTTTATTTGTCATACAAAAATAGGGATACAATAAAATAAGGATAAAAAGAAATCAAAGTTTTTAATTTCAATTTCGTACGAATTATCGTATTAAAAGAAATCAATGTTTTCGATTCGTACGAATTATCGTATTAAATTAATTAAATGGCTTAAAGAATCCGTCTCACAAAAGAACTTCACTGAAAGGTTTTATTTAAAAAGAAAAAGTTCAAATTTCGGAAGAGGAACAAAAATAGAGGGTGATCAGTAATTTATATCAAAAAATAGTAATTTATATCAAATAAATCAGTTGCCAGTCAAGTAAAAATCCTTTCAAAAGGTGTATTCACTCGCATACAAAAAGGGGGAAAGATTCCAACGATGTACACAGACAAATAAAAACAAATTGCCAAACACTTGAGTTGAATTATTTACTAAAATACACTGGGATGAACTCTAAAATGAATGGTAAAAAACACGTCGAATATAAATTCATTATTAAATCAAAGTCCCTCAAAACTAAAAAAAAAAAAAAAAAAAAAAAAAAAAAAAAAAAAAAAAAAAAAAAAACAGAATAAAGATATACATAACATGAAACACTCGAGTTCAATTATTCCTTCAGTTAAATAAAACATTTTAAAAGAAAAAAAAAAAAAAATAAACGACGAACAAACAAATGACATTTTCTTCGAAATTATTTCACTGTCAAACAAAGTAACTTCCCATTTCATTTCACAGCTATTTCTTCCAATTCTACTATATACAAACATCAATCAAGACTATTTGCTTCGTCAATCAAGTCAATGAATCCATTATCAATGAATTCACTCAAACAGAAGATCACTCACAGAAAGTAAAAAACATTTGAATGCAAATCTGACAAAGTTACTGCTCAAATAAAAATAACAAATCAAGAGGAACTGTCTTTACTTCAAACAGAGAACCTCTCCGAGTTATCGATCGAGAAAGTGCTCGGCGAACACTTTTTGCAATGTTGGCCCCGCGGAATTCCAATATCGCGCGCGAAAGTTGTGCAAGGCCTGTCTCGCTAATAGTAAACGCGTTACTCGACAAGAAAGGAAAGCTTCGCGAAAGAAATGGAGAAAGAGTAGAGAGAAAACCGATTGAACCACCGGCACAAAGAAAGAAAGAAAGAAAGAAGTTGCAACGCTTGCGAAAGGCACAAGTTTACGCTTACAGCTGCCTGTTGCTTATGGTTAACCCATTATTTCCCCGGGAGCTTCCTCGAGAGCTTTGCGGTTATCGATTCACGAATGGAGTCGATCTACGGGAGTGAAAAGAAGTAAGGGTGAAGTTGGCGCGTCGAGTTTTTCTGTTGTATTTACGCGACGCCACTTGAAACTTCCTTGGAACGAGTAGCAAAGCAGAATGGAAGCTGAAGTGAAGTGATTCGAAGAAAAAAAAAAAAAAAAGAAAGGAACCTCTGTTCCAAGCTTCGAGTTTGAATAATTCGATGTTTGTTGGATTTCGAGAATGAGACCAAAAAAAAAGATGGAGAAAGAGATATAAAATGGTAGCTGGTATAGTACTGCTGTTATAGTACGTTGCAATTTTATAATAATTCGTTATAAATTCGAAAATAGAAAATAATAACAAGTCACAGCAAGAATGAAGAGTAAAATAAATAATACGAAGAGCAAAGAAGTGAGAAGAAAAATAAACTTCTGTCTATATTATAATTTCGTTATAGATTCAAAATGAATAGTATAACAGGAAGAAAAAGGAATGAGAAATGAAATGATATATGTGTGTTGTACATGTTTGTCTCTATGAATTACAATTTCGTAAATATTTGATTCAAAAATAAAAATAAATAAGAAAAAAAGTGACAGTAGGAAACGATAATAAATTGGAGAATGTTAATAGAATAAATAGTGATGAGAATAAAAAAATGACAAGAGAAATAAAATAGTGGTATAACATATGTATGTGTATAATTTTATAAATACATAATTAATACATGATTATGTGTTATTATAAATTCGAGAATAAAAAAATAAAGAATAATAACAAACTGTAACAAAAATAATGTGATAAAGAACAGTAATAGGAAAAGAGAAATTAAAATAAGGAAGAAATAGAAAACTTATCTTACGTGAATGTATTTTGCACCATCGAATTTGAAATTCAATTGTTAGATTTCTTATGAAATTGTGATGCTGCAATTAATATAACAATAATATACAATATATTATAATATAATATAATATAATAAATATAATATATTATAATATAATAAATATATTATAATATAATATAATATAATATAATATAATAAATATATTATAATATATATTGTATTATATTATATTAATATATATTATAATTATATTAATTAATATATATTATATTAATATAATAATATATGCCACGAGATAGCAAGAATAGACAAGAAAAGAAAAAAAACATTAACGTTACGTATCGTTACAAAATTTCCTAAATTTATTAACATTTCATTTAACGAAAGGAGCGAATTTAACAAAAATTTCAGCTGGTTGAGTAAAAAAATACGCTTACGTGTCTCGAACATAGAATGCATCATCGAACTGTCACCAATTCGAGCGTTTTGAAAAATCGTAAAATTCTACCATGTTCATTCCAACGCGGATATATAATTGAATAAACGAATGAAAAAAAAANTTTTTTTCTTTAAATTAACATTATAATTCATTTCGCGGGGAGAGACGAAATTTTCAATTGGAATTTCGCGAATTAATAATTGATTCTGAAAATTTGATTTCAATTCGTTTCAAATACACATCTGGGTCGTTCGCGACTTATGGTTATGACGATTTGATCTACAGAGGTGCAAACTGAAAGTACATTTTAGAAATTATTCTCGAGAAACCGTTTTAATATTGCTGAAGATAATATTAATCTTCCTGTATCGTGATGTTTTCTTTTTTTTTTTTAACAGGAATTAACAAATAATAATTGAATAAACTAAATAATAATAATAATAATAATAATAATAATAATAATTGAATAAACTAAATAATAGTTTATTACATATATTTATATACTAAGAAATAATAATTGAATAATAGTTTATATTTATATACTAACAAATAATAATTGAATAAACTAAATAATAGTTTATAACATATATTGATACACTAACAAATAATAATTGAATAAACTAAATAATAGTTTATAACGAGACGTAGAATATCTCAGCCGAACGATATATCGTTCATTGTTTCAGGTATCATCGTAAAATTATGTCACGCTGACGCATTATATTCCTGAACTAAATTTCAGTAGTACGAGTCAAGAATGTCGGCGACCAAACCGAGAATGTAACCAAATCGAAACCGACGAAGTACGAAAACAACTTTCGAATTCTTCCTTTCAATAATATCTTCGTATAAGTTGCATTGTATCGACAGATGTCGTAGGATTTATAATTAACTTAATTGGCAAATTAAAAACAAATTTCAATAATGTGATAGAGACCAAGGCTTTCACCAGAGTTTTTTCATTATTTCA